AGTGGTAGTGGTAGTGGTAGTGGTAGTGGTAGTGGTAGTGGTAGTGGTAGTGGTAGTGGTAGTGGTAGTGGTAGTGGTAGTGGTAGTGGTAGTGGTAGTGGTAGTGGTAGTGGTAGTAGTAGTCGTCGTCGTAGTCGTAGTAGTAGTAGTAGTAGTTGTTGTTGTTGTTGTTGTAGTGGTGGTAGTAGTAGTAGTAGTAAAAGCAGTAGTAGTAGTAGTAGTAGTAGTAGTAGGAGTGGTAGTAGTAGTGGTGGTGGTGGTAGTAGTAGTGGTAGTAGTAGTAGTAGTACTCGTAGTGGTAGAAGCAATAGTGCCAGTTCCGCTTGGAGTGCTTGCAGCGGCACTAGTCGTGCTCGGTGGAACCGGCTCGGTGACTCTCGGAGTTCCCACCGGACCAAGTATCGAAAGCCTCGCCGCAGACCCAACACGACGACCGTCACCCCCCCGAAAACAAAAGTAAAAACATCTCTGAAGTCGTCCCGTCCTTCGACGCGTCGACGAAACACGTAAAGCTTGGTGCGTGGCACCCAACCAAAAGCAACTCGGGTTTCCCGTCACAGTACTCCATCCAAAGGTGTGCGTCCCAGCATGTTGGGTCCCCCAGGCAGGGGTAGCTGCTGGCGCTGCTGGTGCTGCAAACCGAACCGAACCGACAACCGAGCCGGAAAAAAAGGGAAAGCAATACTTGAATCACAAATCGAACCGATTGCATGGAATTGCAAATGAACCGAAAAGATTGAAATCGATGTATCGAACCGATACAAACTGATGCAACGCCAAACCGAACCGAAACCGGCCCGTTTCGACCATGATAATGAAGGACAAAGAAAGCCAATAATATGATGGTCCGATGGTGCAATTTCTTTCATTCTGTACTCATAAATTTTGATATGAATAAATAGGACAGAAAAACCATAGATGTTCTCATGTTGATCTTACATTATTTGTCCATATGGTCCATATCATTTTAGATTTGGTTTATTGGAACTCTTATCGTTCACCTTTTGTTTTTTCATGTTCGTTCTGTCTACAGTATATATTGGGGGCCCATAGCCATTTTTAACCGTAGGACCCACAGGTCCTGGAGCCTCTCTCTCTCTACACTGCACTTTTTTGTTCATAAGAGCATGGAAAATGCCGGCCGGCTGAAATGACGGCTGCAGCTACCCGAATGGATCCCTGCATTGGGAAAATCAACTATATGGACTGCCAGGGTGTCGACCTACCACGTGATTTGGAGGTGTTTAGTTTTCACAGAAGCTGAAGAGAATTGAGCACAAGATTCATGGAACTGGTCTCATCTGACCTGAGGTCCTGCTGAGTACCTTTGTTCACCAAGTCTGAATTCTGCTATGGATTGATATGCATGGAAATGCTGAAAGTTGGGTGTATCTTGAAATCAACGACCCCATTTGATCAGCGACGTCATTTCAACCCAGTGGTTAAAGGAGGCGAACATGCACTTTCAAGAGATTTACCGAAGGTACTTTGCGATGCTCTGATTTCGCAGTTCCGGTTTGAAGCAACATGAAGCAACTCCTCTTCCTCACCCCAGATGCCACCGAAAAAGATCCTGTTAGACACCGGATCTCACGCCCAAGACCCTCGTGCGGCGTGAGATAGGCGGGAGCCTCACGCGAGGTGCACGCGGCGGCTTCTGCCGGTCCGTTCCTGCCTTCCAAGCGGAGCGGCCAGGTCGTCCTCGGAGAGGCTCTCGTTCTCCATGGAGGCGGCCAGGTGCGTCGGTGGTCTGTGGGGGGCGGGGGACACCTTGCATCAGATCCAGCCATTCACCTCCAAAGATCCCGGTGAAAAGGTGCAGGTGTTGCAACACACATGGGTCATCACACTAGGAAACCCTGACGCCTTTGCCTGCAGCTCCCCCTGAACCTCGCAGCTTGCTCGAGCCGGGAAGCTGATCGAAGACGTGCACCAGCCCACGATGCGCCGCACGAGCTGTCGGTTGCTTCATAGACCCTTCAACTTGGGTCTATCCTATCACCAGGGCCCAGTGGATGATGATGGTGTGGTGAGCAATCGCCTTTCTCGAAAATAGTGAGCGGTACTTCTTGACTGACTCTTACAGGTATTAGGACAAACCCTCCTCCTTTTCGGTTCTGGCTGCGGGGGGTCTCCATATGTCAAGATCCCCAAACAGTCCCCAAACGGTCCTCGCCAGATCCGCGTTTGTTCCACACGGGAGTCCGGCGAGGCCCCTCTTCCACGGTGCGTACGGTGGGTGTGGCGCGGTCGAGTCACCGTCGAGACGGTCTCACCGGAGACCGAGACCGCTGTTCACCCAATGTTGGGTGTTTTTCCTTCATGAACGGTAAGGGAATTCCTTCGCGTCTTTTTGGTCTTTTCTGGTGCCAAAAAGAGAAAACACCAGATACCGCAGATGGTGGCAAGGGTGTTTTGGATACATAGCAGGGAATTGTCTGCAGGCTGTTTCAGTTTTCTTCATTCCATTGGTGTCTACTTGGTTTGGATACGGATGACACTGCACATGACCATGAAAACCAGAGAAGTGCACGAAAGACCACGGCCACTTGTGAACTGTGCCACAGCCACTTAGCGCATAAATACGGTCACCACGTGCCGCTGCGGTCGTAGCGCTTTCGCCGCATAGATGGACGAAACGTTCGAGTCACTGGCAACCCGAGCTCCTCAACCCTGGAGCACTGTTGTCGATGTTCGTGGTCGAAGGACCAAAACCAGGAAATCCAAAAACCATCAATCAAAATGAGAGACTGGGATGCCCAAAATGAGTACATCAGTACATCGAACCCGAACCCTTGGGGGGGGGCGGTGAATTACATGTCCCTGAAATCATCATGGTTACGTGGACTGGACAGCCCCTGGGAAGACCTTGGTTTTTCACACTTCCATGATTAATTTTTCAAGGAGAGTAATCAGTTTCACCGAAAACAAATGAACATGTTCTCCATCTGCCCACGGTTTCTGGAACCTCGTTGCACCGCTCCGCACATGCCATGCACCCCAGAAGCCTGTATAAGCAAGGTGTGGGGGTTGGGTGTTTGCATCGGGATAGACATCTGGGAGTTTGTGAAGGAGGTCGTTCAGTTCTTCCAAAACAAGCACTCGAAGGTTCGCACATCTATGGATGCATGGTATCACCCGATTCCCACATATGGATGCTCAGCATCTGTCAATGGTTGTGTTGAATTACCGGTTTTATTCGGCCACTAGTGCCACGTTGACCATTTTGTCAGACCCTACATGTGTTTCCCTTTTTGGAGGTCCGCCATTACACTTAACAATCTCAACACTTAGCTGTACAGCCAAACATCTCAACGGGCGCTTTTTTCGCACGGCCGCGTGAAAACGGACGCAGTGTGGCGCGTTTGGTCCCGTACGTCCTGCTCCGCCGTGTGCAGAACATTTCACCGCTTCCAAACCATTGGCTTCTGCAAAGGCCTTCACCTCCTCCTAGCTGGTGGAGACATGGGTTTGGGATGCTCCAAAGCGTGCGGGCATATGTTTGCCAGGGGCAAAACCTGGGAATTTGCTTGACAGAAAATGAAGAAAATGAACTGCTGACATGTCAACCTACTATGGTGCATCGGATGTTCTTCCCAACACGTGACGAACGATTCATGAGGTTTTTCGGGCGATTGCAGGTCTGGAGCTTCTGGCATTCGTCGTACCACTCCTACGGTGCATTCGTACCACTCCTATGGTGCGAGAGCACGAGAGCACCTGCAACAGAAACCAACATATGGACCAGCAGTCACAGAGCTCGGGGTGGTGTTTGGTCCCATCCAGTGAGTGGATGTTCTGGGCACCCCTAACCTCCAATAAGCACCCCGACATGTGACTCCTGGCATATGGATACATGTGCAGGCCTGGACACACCTTGGAATATATGGACACACCATGAGAGAAGTTCCCAATCTTAGGTGACCGTTCTGTTTCAGGTCATGCGGCATCTTTGGAAGGGGAACTGCAAGAAATCCGCTGCCAAGACTAGGAAAAGGATGGAAAATGCAGGAACATGAGTTGGGTGAAAACGTTGTGGCGCGGCTGCAGTAGAACGGGAGCTCATCTGGACCAACTGTGGCGGGTTGGACCAAGAATTTTACCCGGGTTAGTATGGCCCAAAGTGGCCAACACAGGATGTCTTCAACTGTAAGCTGCACCATTTTGACCCAAACCATCCCAAACCCCGAATGAATCAAAAATGGATGCCTTGTTCTCCCACAAAATGCTGATCTTGTTGTGAGCTCTTCTAACATGAATCTTCGGTTAGAGCCGGATTCGGAAACTAATCGGTCGGATTCTGAAACTAGGGTTCTGAAACTGGGGTTCTGAAACTAGGGTTCAGCAACTTGGATTCTGAAACTGGTATTCTGAAACTGGGGTTCTGAAACTAGGATTCTGAAACTGGGATTCTGAAACTTCTATTCTGAAACTGGAAAGTCAGATTCTGCAACTTGCCTTCTGAAACTTGCAACTGGTGATCTCCACATCATGCAATAGCGTATGTGCCTGTGACATCGCCTTCGCAGCACATCCAAACCAACGTCATTAGCCCCCCACCCAACCCCCCCACCCCCCAACCCCCCCTTGTCCCCATCGTATGATCTCGACATCACGCCAACCCACTCATCATTCACAAAGTTGCGGAATCCTAGTTGCAGAACGCCAGTTGCGGAATCCCAGTTGCAGAATCCTAGTTGCGGAATCTTGACAGTTGCGGAATCCTAGTTTCGGAATCCTAGTTGCGGAATCCTAGTTGCGGAATTCTAGTTGCGGAATCCCAGTTGCGGAATCCGACCAAGCAGTTGCGGAATCCTAGTTGCGGAATTCTAGTTGCGGAATCCCAGTTGCGGAATCCGACCAAGCAGTTGCGGAATCCTAGTTGCGGAATCCTAGTTGCGGAATCCTGCCCAGTTGCGGAACTCGACTTTATCCATGAATCTTCTGACCGGGTTGACATGACTCGACCTCCCACCCACCGGCACCGATGCGCCCGCGACCCACTCGGTCGGTCTTCCCCCACCTGGGTGACCGCCGATGCGCCCAGATCGGTCTTCGTGGCACAGAGCACCGCCGCCAACTCCCCCACGGCACTCACCGAGCTGCACGAGATCCTGGTCACCGGATCCGATCCCGTGGAGGACAAAGGATTAGAAAGAGTGATCCAAATGGGGATGTATGAAGTGGCAAAAGCCACACTGTGTGACTGTGTGTGTGTGTGTCTTCATCTTGTGATTCTTCTTCTTCTTCTTCTTCTTCTTCTTCTTCTTCTTCTTCTTCTT